ATAAAAAATTTAATTAGGAAAACATGAAAAAAATTATGAGACACCTAAGATCCTGTCGGCCGAGCAATGCCACATATTATCCTATTGTTTGAAACACTTTACACATTTGTAAAGTTACGGAGTGACTGCACCGCGAAGAAGGGCGGCGCATCGCGATGCACTCTCTCTCTCTATCTTATAGTGCATTTCTGCACTTCCTCGCCGCGCGCGCTCCGCTCCGCTCCGCGTCGCGGAGTCTCTCGCGGACTGTCGACGACCTTCGGTCCGCCAGCCGGCCGGCCGGTCGGTCGGTCGGCCGATTGCGTAATTAAACCAGCGACGCGGTACTTAATAAACGAGAGTGATGAGTGGCACGCAAGCGACGACGGCGACGACGACGACGACCCGGTACTCGAAATAGAAGTCAGTCGCGAGAGGAGCGAGAGCTACGACCTCGATGTATAACTCATCTCCGCGCGTGCGGAGCGTGATGCTGACGCACGCCGAGAGCGAATGCTCGCCGAGATCATCGCTCGCGCGTGTATATACGCAAATGACGAAGACGATCCGCCGAAGAGATTCGCTGGGGAAATTTCTTCTTGAGCCGAGCCGAGCGCGAACGCGTCTGCCTCTCGTTACGTACCGTCCCCGTTGTAATCAGGGCGGCACGGAAAAACAATTGTGGAAATGCGCGAGAAGCAAAACGGCGAGATTCAAACGCCGACGCTGGCTGGAACTCTGGAATGTCGAGACAAAACTGCGAATATATCGTTCGCGAAATTTGTTCCTTGTAGACACGAGGAGGCTAATGCGACCATGATATGTGTCTCTTATCCGGCCTATCGACAGCTCACCTCTTTCTTTTTTATCGCGAAGGAAATGGAGTGCGAATGCTAAAACCCGATATCCAACAGAGGCGGGATTCGCTCGCCGTACTATTTCGATCCTTGGGTCGTTATCGCGAATTACCGGCACACGGGCCGAGCACCCAAGGAATAATTCCAGCGCGAACTCTCCACGGTCTCAGATCGACCGCATAAATCATTTTGTGGGTCACCGGAGCGACCACGTGGTGGCCCCGTTCCACTGACTCGGCTCGGCTCAGCTCGGCTTGGCTCCTTCTGATCGAATGTTCGTTCCTTCTCGGTCCACGAACTCCCGGCGGCCGATATAATACGCATCGGTCGCTCGCTGGCCATTGCATTGGCCTAAAAATAATCGCCGTATTCGCGGTGGCGTAGCGCTTGCCGTCTTAGAAAAAGGATCGATATTATTTTTTATTT